GTATACTATATATTTTTATCACAATGAAATTTGTGGTATTAAAAAAAATTAATTTTAGAGAGAAATACTTAAAAAGCTAAATCGAGGTATTTAACATTGTAAGACACATTATTATCTGTCTAATGGTATTAAAAACTTATTTTTGAAAAGTATTACGAGATTTTGCAAATAAAGTTGCAAATTAGTGAATTGAATAAACATTATTTCATACACAAATATTTATAATTGTTATTGTGTAATTATGTGCATTTTTATAATATTATGTCTTGTTTTTATTATGAGAACCAAGTAATTTAAGGTAAGCCAATATTCTTATTTAGTGTAAACTTTTGCTTATACTATACACATAATATAACAATCAATTTAACATTTATACTCATTTAGTTCAATAATAATAATAATAATAATAATAATAATAAAAAAAAAAAAAAAACAAGTTTTTAACTAAAATTTCCTAGATTACTGAAGTGAAACAAAAATCTTTTTTACATAGTTGTAATAATAAAAATTAAAAAAAAATATTTGTAAAGTATAATATATATTAAATATAAACAATGTAATCAGTATTACCTTCTTGATGTAACTTGTTTAAGAATGCTATTATGATAACAACAATTTTGAATATATTTTCATTATTTGAAAAAAATTGTATAGTATCTTTTGCCAAAGGTGTTATGGTATCTTCTTCATTAGTTTCTTTATTTTTATCAAATGCATTAATCTTGTTCTTAAAATCATCAAAATCTTGCAGAACGCTTATAATACTAGAATATATCTATAAAGGTAATTGTTAAATATTATAACAGTCTAAATAAAAAGAAATAAAATTTACTTTATTTAATTCTTGTCCATCATCTTTTCCAGTATACCATATATTAAAAATAGAAAAAAGTTTTTCTAAAAATACATTTCCAACTGGTTCAGATTGTTGTTGCAAAGATAATATTAAGTTTTTCTCTCCTCCTTCAAATGGTTCAATGCTAAATACACTAAAAAATTAAAACACAATATAATCAATGTTAAAATTTATGTATAGGGTTGCCATAAATGTCATTGGTTTTTGATTCAAAATATGGAAAAAAAAAATATATTTCTATTTTATTAAATAATAACTTCAATCCAGAGTTAACATTTTTAGATAAAAATAATTGATATAACAATGTTGTTAAACATATAGATTAAATATTGGAAAGAATAGAGAAGAATAGTGAATAAGAGTAGTTAAAATACTCTATTTTTAAATATGATCATAATTTAGTTTAATATATAAATTAATAAGTATAGTCTTATAACAAATCTGTTAAATTTTTATAATATAATAATCTTGCATTTTCATAGGTTTTTAATTTTTAATGTTTAATGTTATGTAGGAAAAATATTACAAATAAAAAATACTATATTATTAAAATTTATAAATGTAAAAAAAAATTAAGTGTGCATACAACAAAAAAATTGTTTTTTTTTTTTTAAACTCTTAATTCATAAGAAAAAAAAAATTAGTAGCTACACTAAAATTATAGTGTTATTCCCTGTTACTAATTTGATCAATGAAATTATGGCAATCCTAAGAATACACCTTCTATTATATTATTTATAAGTTACCATCGGACATAATGATAAACAGCATCTAAATGTTTTTTATTAGATAACGCCAATCGCCCAATTTGATTATGTGGGAGTCCATTAGCTGGTTTATAGTTTAATGCTTGTTTGTAATACCGACAAGCTGTTGAATAATACAAATCTAGTTTGTTTAGTTCATACATATATCGTGACAAATCTCCCAAACATATCAAACAACGGTAGACTAATTGTTTCATACCAGTTTCTTCTTTGTTGTCTGGAATGAATACATTTAAAAAGAATAAGTTGAAAGCAGTAATTTTTTTAAATATAATATAAATATTTATTTATAATTAATTTACTAGTATCATTCTTTTTCAATAGAGTGATGTGATCCTTTTTGACATTATTATCTGTGTTATCATTTATTAGTAGATAGAAATCAAATAATTCAGGTTTGTTGAATTTAATTTCTGCTTGAAATTTGAATAGTAAATGATAATAACTGCCAATGCCCGACTGAAAATGATTTTCCAATAGTGCCAATTCTATGTGATTCCAATCATTATTCTGAAATAAAATTGTTTTAATAAGTATTTTGAAGAACCATGAATAATTTATTAATATATGTACCTATTATTTATATATATATATATATATATATATATATGCAGTAGAGCCTCAATAGTTTGAACCCCTGATATTTCAATGAATGCTGTAATCCAAACAGCAAAGTTAATTTCTAGTTTTTTGAAAATTAAAAGTATTATTCCGAAAAAAAAATACTGACTATTTACCTACTTATGTATAAGTTATTTACTATTTTAGTAATTTAAAGTGCAATAAATATAAAAGTGGTGAAATTAAAAATAGAAATCTAAGTTATTTAAATAGGTTAACTTTAAAACCCTTCAGTAATCCGGACAATGTTTGGTCTGAATTCGTCCGGACTATCATGGCTCTACTGTATATATAAAAATATTATCAAGACAGGCACACTTATATAATGGTATATTAATGATTTCATTATTTTTTTTACTTTGTGTAAAATTTTAGCAGTAGAATATACATCATGATAAATTTTACGCCACATGATATCTTCAGCTTTTCGGCCATAACATAATGGATCTGCAAGCATCATTCTTTCACAATAGTTTTTTAACTTAATTCGCTGTGTATCAACAGCAACAGTAAAAAGATCTTTGCAAGTTAAAGATCGGCCACGCTGATCATCCAAAAAATGTGATACTTCATTTATACTCCTGAAAACATTTATAAAGTTTTCATTATATGACATCATGTACATGCATCTATATAATTTCAGATAGAAAATACAATATTGAATAATTATTTAATAACATAAATAATAGATGAGATTATTGTTTTTATTACATTTCAATAACTGTTTAGAAAAATACCTAGCAATTATATTATTTTTAAATAAATCTTATAAAATATTATGATTGCATACATAGTAACCAACATAAATTTGGTAAAAATGTATAGTTGAGTGACAAAGAATTAAAAATAGCAAGGCAAAGACTTACTCATAGGAGTATACCCAAAATTTTGCACTAGAACTGTTAATGTGTGAGGGAATAAACATGATACATTGTTAATGGGTTATAATCGTTAGGATTTAGGAGAAATACTTAAGTCTATCAGACATTAAAAATGGGTAGCACACAAAATTCTTTTACTCACTTGTACAGTTTTTTGACTGATTCACTGGCCTCCGTGGTAGGCTCCACTACACGACTGTTATGCAATTTTTTCATGGCCACCATTTGCCGTTTCTAGTATACACACGCTATTACATATGATACTTATAATTTGTATCCCCGTCCAAACAAATTTGAAGACCTAAGTAGCTATCATACCGCAAAGACCAGGTGTTTGTCAATCGTTAGCAACAGTCATCGGTCGAGCCATTCATTACGTTGACTTGATCTAACCATCGACCAGCGATGAATTTTTCAGATACGATCAGTGCTAACTCAAGGGCAGAGGTCACGTCCATAGACTCCATTGTTGTAAGTATGTAGTAGAAACTAATTGATCAAAAGTGGCATCGGATTCCGGGACGGAATCACAAACCAGAACTTTTCAGTAATTCTGTCGCCAAGACAAATTGTAGTCGTCCGCGATGTGGATATTGTCGTTTTTATATTATATTATAACAATAATTACTGTTACACTCGTCACTCACAAGCTGAGAAAGTGAGAAACAGAGAACTGTAAATGCAAGATTAACAAAAAAAAAAAAAAAAAAAATGACACAACAGCGACCACTGGTTTAACAGATTAGAACATGAGAAATAACTACTACGATAATTTTAATATTATTTCACATCTCTAAACTTTTATGACTATTTATTAGTATTTACGATAATAACGAAAACTTTAGTCCGTAGTCCGTAATTGTACATCTTGTCTATGACAAGCTGGTGGTACCGCCATCACGTTATCAGTACGGACTAGTGCTGCCAACGACGTAGTCGAAAGGTATAAGTTGTAACCTCGAAAAATATTTCTGTGATTTGTAATATTGTTGTAATCGGTATTCACTATTCAAAAAACGCGCAATTTAACGGTATCATGCTCCCGCGTTGTTATTGTTATTTGTTTTCAGTTTTTACTTGATTTTATTTTTCGTTTATTATTTCGTTTTCGTATGCATGATGCATCGTTAATTTTATTTCTACCATATATCGAACAAAATTTCGAAATCAGTTTGAACGTTAAGCTTAAATGTTTGCGTGCTCCAAGTGAATATACACATCATTACTCGTGTATCATTGTTTCAGTACTTGGCGTTTTTATGACTCTTGGACCTCCTTTAAATGCTTTTGCCCTTAGACCGCTTTTGTGATCCCGTCTACTGATTACACTTTGTTGACATCTCGGTAAGTACTTATTTGCAATTATTTATCATTGACCCTTAGTCATCGAACTGAGTACTAAGAAATAAGTAAACTGAATACTGATCACTACTACATAATATACGTCTCATAGGTTAAAAATATAAGTGTAGGATTAGATATATGGTCATAGTAGGGTATAGATTTTTAGAACTTCAAATGTATAAATGGACCTTATAGAAACATTTTTTTTTTTATTTTAATTTAATATAATATTTACAATCAATACATTGGTATGATGAAATAAATAGGTAAATGTTTTGTTAGATTTAGGATTTATTTGTTGAATGAAGGTATGTAATGTTCAAATACACTAGTTTTACTATAAATGTGCAAGTGATATTAAAGATTAATAAAGTGTGAAAAAAAGGGAGATTAGAGATAGAAAATTTTGTGAACAATTCCCTCAGTTTACTCTAGGTTGAAGATCTTAGGCAATGTTGGAAAATATAGCTTCACATTAACTTTTTGTTTCTAAGGGTGTAGAGATAATATCTGTTAATCTTTGAAATAAGTGTAATAACAAGTGTTTATTTCTAAAATCAAATTAAGTAATAGAAATTATGTTTACTACATTAAAAGTTGAGTAGATTTTTAAAATGATAATACATAAAAGAGTGGTAGCTTATCAGACTTTTTAAGTTAATATTAGAATGGAATAGGTAAATTATAGAAGGAATATTTCCTTTTTTTGGTAGGTATTTGATGTGTGATTTGGTAGTCTGGACAAATTTAGAGATATGTTCTTAGGTGATTTTTGGATTTTAAAAAAAATTTTAAAGGGCAATTTATGTTTGATTGGGATATTATTCATAAATTTTTATATTTTTTCGTAATCTAGATCTACTTGAAATTTTAGTTTTAAAGTATTCATAGGTGTCAAAGATTTTATCTCTAATTAAAATAAGAATAAATTTATTTAATGTTAATTACAACATACTTAATTTTTAATTATTTTATATTATATGTTTCGTTATAATTTCTATTAACAGAATAATAAAATATATTTTATAGATTACTAATGGCTAGTCGACAGTCTGTTAGTTCAATTTTAAAGCCACCTAAAGTACGAGCACCTCTAAAAGAGATTGAAACAGTTGATCAAGATGCTGATGAAAATACTGCAACATTATCCAAGAGAAAAGTAAGTTTTTCAGGGATGAATAAAATAAAAATGTACAACACAGGTGCTACATCTTTAACTGTACATCAAGCTCCTATGTTTGATGAGCAAATTTCAATGTTATCTGATTCTTCAAATGCAGAAAAACCTAAATTATCAGAAAAGTTTGAAAAATCTGATACTCAAATTAGTATCGAATCAACTAATTGTACCAACTTGGAAGATAATGGTCGTATTATTATTGAGTATGAAAGTCCAAATGATAATATGGAAATGACTGAAGCATTATCGGGTAAAATATTGTCAGACACCATTTATACTATTGATAATAATGGTTCTAAGCGTATTAGTTATAGTTCAGATTATTCAGAGAATAATATGGAATTCACAGAAGCACTAAAAGTAGGGCAAATTTTATCAGGTGATAATAGCTGCGATTTAAGTTCTACTGAAATGTCTGAAACATTGGTTGATGAAAGTGAAGAAGAATTGGTTAATCAATTTGGTTTTATACCTTCAACACCATCATCTGATGTGCCTTATAAAAATACTTCAAATATTAGTTCAAATTCTAGCTGTATGGAATTTACCTGTGCCAATACTAAATCCAATCTATCTTGTAATACTCAATCAAGTAATATGGAATTAACCTGTATGACTAAATCTTTAAAATCTATTTGGTCAAATGATGATTATAAATCATTGAGTATGGAGTTGACACAATTACCTGACAGGCAAACATTTGAAGATAATTGTGAATTGGTTTATGAATATAGTGAACATTCTATGAGTATGGGATCAGATATATCTTATGAAATTCAAGAAAAAAGTAGCTGTGAATCAGAAAATGTACAAACTAAAGAATCAGAAAGAAATAATTCAAATTCTCAAACTACTGGTTGTGTACTGGACAATTCTAGGAATGGAGAAGATTTTATTGAAGAATTATCATTAAGTATGGTTTCAATGGATATTGATCCAACATTAGAAGATAATGCATTTGATATTAGTTATGTAAATATTGATGAGCCACTAAAAGTTGCGAACGAACAAAAATTTTCAACAATATCTATGACGGCAGCAGTAGAAAATAATTCCAACTCTGAGCAAAGTGTGCTTGAGAATTATTCTAGTATAATTGATAGTAATCAAAATAATGAATCTAGACTATCTATACTGCCTACAGGTTCTTCATTTGTTTTAAATATGTCTCCTGAAAATAATATCAACAAACATGTTGAAGTTGAAAATCTCCTACAACAAACATTATATGATCATACATCTGTGTTAGATAAGAATCAATATCTTGAAAATAAATCGATTATTGTTGAGAATAATGTACCAAAAAAATATTCAAGAAAAACAATGATTTACACATGTCCATTAATTGTTCAAGACGGTTCTAATGAAAATGAAGATCCGTCTGAAATAGTCAAAGATAATCAACAAAAACGTTATTCTAGAAAATCAATTGTTCCTACAACAGTTTTTAAAGATGATGTATCGGATACAAATGTAGTACTTGAAGAAAACCAACAAGAAAAATATTCTAGAAAA